AGTGTGGGATAGATATATCTTAGACGATAGCTTAGGTATCTTCTTAAGAGCTTATGCTTAAGGAGTACCATACCCACCTTGGTGTGATGGTTCCCTTTTTACGAAGGTTACCAGCATACCTTAGTGCACTTGTCCCTTCTAGGAAGGTTACAAACGCACTTGAGTCTCTTTTGCTTTTGTCTAAGGATATCTAGTGCACCCTAGAATGAATGTGTTTATGTATGAGAGAGTTTATTATGATGATGTTTATGCATACTTTCCTTAATGTATTTATTTTCTCTCATGGTTTTACCACTTATTGAATGGTGCGATATGAATAACACGATTTTGTCAAAAATCTTTTTTGCAAAAATTATTTTTGTCAAAATTGTTTTAAGATTATTTTTATAACTCTTTATCTCTTCTGTTGGTCAACGTGGCTATTTAGCTTACAAAGAACCTAAAATCAGGCTAGCTTAAATGAAGACTGTCCGAGATAAAGTTGGTTTATTATTATTTCCTTTATTTTTATGGTTTTTAAGAGATTTTTATTTTTTTGTTTTAACTGTTGTATGATTATCTTATGCAAATGCATCAAACAAATGCAACAAACAAATACACACACAATTCACTCATCCACGAGCAGAGTTACAATGTTCAATCACGAGGTAGGGTTTTCCTGAAGAAAAGTGCATGGTTAAGGTGGTTCTAAACTGTTCTCACCAAGGTCAAAGGTCCCCAAGGTGCCCCTATTAATGAGACATCTCAATCTCTCAGTCTTCGGATCATGCATGGAACTCTGTGTCGACATCCTTGGACCAAAAGAAGAGAGTTATCACCTTGAGTTGGTGGTTTTCCAACAACGGATGTAGCCCCGTGTGCCAACAAACCGGTCATATCTGTCACCCACTCCCTATGGGTAATCACTCTTGCCCCCGGGGAATAGAGGGACTATTGTGTGCAGGGGTTTTTGTGTACAGTTTGTATTTCAAACAATTGTATAAAGTAATCATACAACAGTTATCAAAGCCATATGTAGACCCCAAATCTTGCCTGACTCTCCAATAAAGCCAGAGATCACCCGTTTCAAAGATGGTCAAGACTTTATTAAGTCCCTAGTAGCTTTTTTTAGGTTCCGTTTAAGATAGGAAGGGTTTTTAGAGGCAATAAAAATCAGAAAATCTGCCGAAGACAGCAGATGGCCATCCAGGACAGTCAGACGACCATCCATACCAACTTTATGGCTTTTGGCCATGGACGGCTGTCCACACTACATGGACGGTCGTCCAAGGCCACTTTTTGCTATGGATGACCGTCCACTAAGTCCAGACGGTAATCCACTTTTTCCTAGTCTGGTTCCCTATAAATAGGAGCCCCCATTCCTCGAAAATTCACACCTTTTCACTCCTACCACTCTCTAGGAAGCCTTTTGGCACTTTAGAGTGACTCTGAGCATTATTCCGAAGTTTGAGTGAGCTTTCCAATTTCTGTTTAAAGTAGAAATCGGTTAAGGAAGTCTCCTAATGAGACGTTCGGCCCTCGGTAGAGTGACTTTTCTTTCTTTTGCAGGAGGAGCGTGCCTGTAGAGTGCGGCGAATGCCAAAAAGCGTCCTCAAGTTTCGAAGGGTTAAAATAAAGCTTGCTTCGGAGGTTCCTTCCTTATTCTCTCTCTCTCTCTCTCTCTTTTACTACTTTCTTTATCGCTTTCTTTGTGTGCATTAGATAATAGGGCCATGTAGACATTTAAATTCTGCAAGTAGATAGAATAAGAGAGTAAAAACATAATTTATTTAAGCATTTATTTTTTAAGCTAGTCCATCATAGGGAACCCGAAATGGGCGTTGTGGGTGCTAACACCTTCCCCACACGTAACTAACTCCCTTACCCGACTCTGGTTGTAATGGCCAAAGTTTGTTTTTTCTAAAACCATTGCCATCTTCTTTTTTTCACCTTTTTCAGTGTTTAAGGTTAAAACACTGATGACGACTCTTCGAACCTTTTCGAAAACCTCACCTTTAGATCCAACCCAATTATCGGACAACCTAAAGGTGTTGAACCACTTCTTTCAAAAAACGTGAGTCATTCAAAACCATCACGTCGCTCTGACCGACTCTCTTGACGGCGGCGACACCATACAATAAAACATGTTATAAATACAAGGAATGGTGAAGGTGTAATTTCAAATCTTTCTTTAGTTTGAATTTATCCATCACTAAATAGGATCAACTCTCTAGCTTCCTTAGTGAAGTCGCCATCTGTCGCCGCCATCCGTTTCGACGTCTCGGGACATCTCGATTATTTATGCGAGTGGTTGCGATATGATGGATTAAACTCACTTTTTTGTAAAAATATGATCATTGCTTCCAAGGTGCTCAACAATTGAACAAACCTCTAACAAAACCAAGGTTTTCGTAAATAAGGTTCTATGGAGTCGCCACCAATGTTTTTACCATAAACATTGAAAAAGGATAAAAAATGCGTTGATTTTAAGAAAAACCAAACTTAGCCATTATAACCAGAGTTAGGTAAAGGAGTTAGTTACGTGTGGGGAAGGTATTAGCACCCCCACAACGCCCCTATCGGGTTCCCTATGACGAATTAATTCATAAAATAAAGATAAAGAGAAATTACGCTATTACCCTATTTTATTCTACAGTATTAAAGTGATTATCTACATGATCCTATTTTCTAGTGCACAGAGAAAGTAATAAATAAAGAAATAAAAGAGAATAGTAGTGAAAAGAATCTCCGAAGCAAGCTTTTATTACAAATCTTCAACTCTGAGTTTTTGGCTATCCTCCTGCACTACAAAGACTCTCCTCTTCGGAATACAAGAAAAGGATTTTAGACTATCAAATGTCGGATATCTCAAAAGATATTTCCTTAACCGATTATTACCTTATAGGAAATAAGAAAGATCATTCGAGAACTAGAAGTGCATGAGAGAGTAGAGAGAAGTGAAATTGTGTGAAAAAACTACAAATGAGGCTCCTATTTATAGTTTTTCACTGCTAGAACCTCGGGATGGTCGTCTGGGCTGGGATGGCCATTTGGGACAGTTGGAACGGCCATCTGGGAAGTGGGACGGCCGTCCCAAGTGTAAAAATGGGTTGGGACAGCCATCTGGGAAGTGGGATGGCCGTCCCAAGCTCCCTGACAGGATTTTCCTACCTTTTTCTTATTTTTTTGAGTCCAGAAAGCTCTCTTATCCTCACATGGAACCTAGTGAAAAATACTAGGAGCCCAATAAAGCCTTGTCCATCTTTGAACAGAGGATCTTTGGCCTTTATTGTGAGGCCGGACAAGATTTGGGGTTTACATTTATTTATTGGACAAGTTATCATCCTTTCTAAAAGAAAAAAAATGTGTTTTTCTTATAACAAAGGTATGTATAACTTGTGTGACTCTAAGTAAGGTACATAACTTGTGTGACCTCAAGTAAGATATGTACAATTTGTGTGATTCCTAGTAAGGTACATAATGTTAAAATTCAAGTATGAGTTAAAGTCCCACATTAAGTTGCAATAGTGAAATTGAATAACATATAAGTGGGAAGACCCACAAATCTATAGGTTTTAGATTAAAGGTGGTGTCATATTCTCCTATATGTTTACCTTGCCACCCTTATTTAACACAATAGTGGGGTTAACCTTTTAAAAAAAATGCTAACAATGGTATGAAAGCCTAGTTAGTTTAGGACTAGCTCATTCAAGTTCAATATAAGACTTATTGCTTACGCAAAGCGTGTCCCATTGATATGAATGCTGGTACTAGTAAGAGACCCCATTAAGAGATGCATTCCCTAACAAGGATTATAACTAAAGTACTCATGTTTTAGAATTATTTTCATTTGAGGAGGAGAGTGTTCTTATGTATAAGAGATCACACTTGAGGAAGAGTATTAGAATTCAAGAGTGAGTTGAATTCCCATATTGGGTAAAAATAGTGAAGTTGAATAACATATAAATGGGAAAGACCAACAAATTTATAGCCTTAAATTTTAGGTTGAAGGTGGTATCAAATTCTCTTTTATGTTTATCTTACTTTCCTTAGTTAAATCCAACAACAGTCTTAACCCCTCCTAAAATCCTAATACATAACTTGTGTGACCTAAAGTAAGGTACACAACTTGTGTGACCTCGAGTAAGATATGTATAACTTGTGTGACCCCAAGTAAGGTACATAACTCATGTATGTATAACTCGTGTGACTCTGAGTAAGGTATGTATAACTCGCATAACTCCGAGTAAGGTATGTATAACTTGTGTGACTCTGAGTAAGGTACATAACTTGTGTGACCTCGAGTAAGGTATGTATAACTCGTGTGACCGTGACCCTAAGTACATAACTTGTGTGATCCCAAGTAAGATACATAACTCACGTGATCCTGAGTAAGGAATGTATAACTCATGTGACCTCGAGTAAAGTGCATAACCTATGCGATCTCAAGTAAGGTACATAACTTGTGTGATCCTAAGGAAGGTACATAACTTGTGTGACCCTGAGTAAGGTATGTATAACTTGTGTGACCCCGAGTAAGGTATGTATAACTCATGTAACCCCAAGTAAAGTATGTTTAACTCGTGTGACCCCAAGTAAGGTATAAATTTTATAACTTGTGTGCAGGCATCCCTTACTTTTTGGATGCTCTACCAATAACATTTGGTGTGTTATACAGAGTTGTTTCAAGGATTTCTCTAAGTTTTTGTCAATGAACTGTCTACCATTATCAGTTATTATGGTTTATGGGAAACCATGTCGACAAATAATATCTTTCTAAATAAACTTTCAGATTGGTAGAGCCATTTGGTGAAGTAATCTATTGCTACTATAAAAGATTTTAATTAGGCCTGAGCTATAAGAAATGGTCTAAGTATATCTATTGCCCATATGACAAATGGCCATGGAGAAATAATGTTATGTAGCTCTTCTAAGGGTAGGAAAAACACAAGGTAAATTATTGACATATTTTGAATTTCTTGACGAAGTCCTTTGAGTCGACCCTCAAGGTTGAATAATAGTACCCTACTTGGATAATTCGTGCAGTCATGCTTCTTGCTCTTGAAGGAAGCCCCCACAAATGGCCTCGTGTAGCTCAACCATCACATATTAAGCTTGCTTTTACCCTAGGCTTTTTAACAAAGGAGAGGGTATTCCTCTTTAGTAAAGTTCACCATTACATAAAGTGTAAAAAGGATCCATTTTTTGTATCTTCTTTGATTCAACTAGGTCATTAGGTAATGTATATCTTGCTTAAGATACTTCTTTATAGGGGTTGATAGAAAATTTCCTCCCTCCTTCCACCAAGTAGAGTAATCAAACACACCCAGGAGTAATCAAAAATTTTCCCCAAGTTTCTTAAAAAATTTGACACTAACTCATCCAAGGAAGGCTCCTTATCTAGGCGAGTAAGAGAAAGAACTCTCAAGGACACTTGACCAAATTCGAGGTACAAGCTAATTAAGCAAGTTTCACACACTAAGCTTGATTTTATTCAAATGTACCCAAAATGATACACAAGGGGTCATATATATAGTTGCTCCCCTTTCATTTACTCACTCACCCAAGGAATGTGAGACTAAATTCGCTTCTAACGACTATGCACCGATTTTTCTAGCTTCAAGTCCCATGTTGCCCACTTTTCATTACATTTATATGTTTATATACCAAAAATCTCAAATATTGCAACTAAGAGTTGAAGCTTGGACCTCCTTGAGTGTTTTGGCCAAATTTGAGAAGGAAAAATGGTATATTCCCTTTTTATGGTAGCCAAGACTTAAACATTGTCCTCTTTTTTTAAGTACAACACCTTCAAGTCCCATCTCCTCTAGATTTGGCTTGCTTCAAGTGTTATATATATATATATATATATATATATATATATATATATATGAAACCTCTCTAAAGTTACAACTAAGTGTGGAAACTTGGCTCTTTAAGTGTGAGGAGTGCTCCTAGCCTTCAAGTGGCTCGCCCAAGACCTTGATAGGTCGCCCAAGGTGTGGCATGTTCCATGATGGCTAGTCCAAGGTGAGTGTGCACCCCCTCTAGTTCTAATGTTTACAAGAAAGAAAAATTAAAACCTACACAATTGTCACAAGAATTTTAAAACGCCATTAAAAATAGAAAAAGAGGTCTTAGTAGTGTAAGCTCCATTGAAGGAGATGCCTCTCTTAGGCCTCTTCCTCTTCTATCCCTTTGGTCTTGGGCCTTAGTTGAGGCCTAGTGTATTTGGCCTAGATGGTCCTTCATTAGGTATCATCCCTGTGAGCACCTCAATACTGACCTGTAAGACCTCTAGTCTATACCAACTCCATGATGATAGCATTTCTTGAATGAGTGTTCTATGATGCTCTGGTCTTTTAGTACTAGATAATTTTGAGAAGATATTTTCCCTATCATTTTGATCCCAAGGTATGTGTTGTGTAGTGAACTATCAATGTTCTTGATGAATCTTCTGATAATATGATAATACCTGACAATACCTTTGGAGACATTTTCCTTATCATTTTGAGATACTTCATTGATTTTCCTAAAAAAATTACTTACAAAATACTAATGTTTGAACCAAAGGGAAGACGTCAATAACATTGAGAAAAATAAGGCTACACCATATACAATATTACAGTGTTACATATGACAATGATGCATAGGCTTAAGACACTACTAATACTGTCACTTGCGAATCCTACATATGTTAAAAATTACATAATTGTTATAATCAATAAGTGCTTAACAAGTTCTCATGCAATAAGAAGATAAAGAGTTTATCCCTATTAAATATATTTGTTAGTATAATATGAGACAAAACTCTATAATGTTAAAAAACTATGAAATCAATTTTAGATACTCTAATCTGCAAAGAAAAGCCAAATATAACCAACATTATAAAATTCATATATAAAATTAAGAGATAATCTATTAACATATTAATTAACAATGTAATTCATGTTATATATTATAGTAAACTAGAAACAAATATAGTATTTTAAAGTAATTATTAATTTTATACAAATTACTTTAATATATTCTATGGCCATTTAATCCTAGATTAGTGCATCAAATTGGAAGGATCAAAGCCACTATTTTTTCTCAAATAACACGTTGACTCATATTTTTCTATTTTTCCTTTAAAGTCCTACTTAATTTTTGGAATACTTATTAGTTTAAGTCAATGAGTGCAATATTATTCTCAACTAGTGTAAAGATTTTTCCTAAAATCAATATCAACTTTAATTTAACATGTACATAGTGCAAGTTTCCGATACTTAAGTATGATGAATGAGATGCACAAATTTGTAGTGCATGTGGTAAATGACACATAAAGTAACTATATATTTTCTACTTTGACAAGGTCCTACTTGAAGAAAAGAATAACCAATTATTAAAAGATGAAATGTTAGTTGATCATTGTTGAACATACAAGGATATGATGCTTGAAGATTTTGATGATGATTCAAGAACAAAGAACTTGAAGTATTGAAGACTTATAATCATTTGTATTTACTTGTAATAATTTTGTTTTATCTTTTTGAGTCTATAAAATTAGAGTCCAAGATAGCCAACACATAGGTCTTCCTTTGAAAGTTCATTTTTATCAAAACCACTCTGTGATAATCGATCATCACTTAGGATGGACAATTCATTTTTATCAAAACCACTCTATGATAATCAATTATCATTTTTAGCTTCCTCACAATGCCTCTTTCGGGTTCCCTATGATGGAGAGTTTTTGTAAAGAAATAAGAACATTAAAACACGCTTTTACCCTTATTTATTCATTGCAAAATTTAAATTATTGACTACATGACCCTTAATAACTAATGCACATAGATAGTAAATAATAAAAGTGATAAAATAGAGTAAGGGATATGAAAGAACCTTCGAAGCAAGCTTTTTATAAAATGTTCTTGAAAAGGGTGCTTTTTGGCAAACCCCATGCTCTACAATGCAGCTCACTCTTCTCTCGAAGAACTTTAGAATGCTTTCTAAGAACTCTAAGACTCTGGAAATGCTTCAGAGGGGTCCTAGAAGAGTATTTTGAGGTATCTTCAGTTGGAGAAGTTGTAGAAGTTGTTCAAAACGAGAAGGTCCCCCCCCTTTTATAGAAATTCACACTTATTAGGTCGGGATCGCCGTCTCGCCTAACAAGGTCAGGACCACCGTCTCGCCTAATAAGGTCGGGACCACCGTCTCGACTTTCGGGACCATCATCTCGCCTTTGGCAAGTGGCGAGTCGGCAGTCTCGCCCAACGAGACGGGGGTCTCGACCCATTGGGTGAAATTTTTTATTTTTTATGTACAAAAAGGCTTCCTATTCTAACATGGGGCCTATTGATGAATCCCAGGGACCTTTAAGGCCTTGCCCATCTTTGAACGGAAGTCTTCTACTCTTTATTTTGAGGCTGGGCAAGATTTGGGGTCAATAGCTGCCCCCCCTTCACCTAACTAGCCGACTGTTGGCTCAATATGCCAAAAAGATCGGCTGGAGGGTAAGGAGTTGACCCTCTTGCCTGGTTGTCCTTCGGTTGGTTCCCTTGTCATGGTAGCCGACTTTCTGGACGCTAAGTGTGATCCTCCGGGATGCTCCTTTGACACGATAACTGACCCCTTTGGTTGTAAAGTCTGGTTTTAAGTCCCCTTTTGTATGGCTTGATGAGTACATAACCCCATTTGGTTTTGAAGAGTACGAACCCCCGTCTAGTTGTTGTAAAACTTGTAGCCCACTTTGTAGGACTGGATGAGTACGCACCCTCATCTGGTTTGGCGAGTATGAACCCCTGTCTGGTTGTTGTAGCTTTGGGATGCTCCTTTGATGCGGTAGCTGACCTATCGGTTGTAAAGTCTGGTTTAAGCCCCCTTTTGTAAGGCTTGATGAGTATGCACCCCCATCTGGTTTGACGAGTACGAACCCCCGTCTGGTGGAGAAGTCCACTTTGTTGGATTGGTGCGACTTACTGATTTTGTTCATGCCTAATGATCTTGCCTGTGTGTAGGTCTTTGTCTTCGGGACCTTCCTTGTCATGAAGTTGTGGTGGTGGCTTATTGCTCTGGCTCATGCGCTGTCTTCGTGGGGAGTGTGTCGCCGCTATCAAAAGAAGCGGTCAGAGCAACGTGATGGTTTTGATGACTCACATTTTTTAAAGAAATGGTTCAACGCCTTTAGGTTGTCCAATAACCAGGCTGGACCTAAAGGCGAGGTTTTTGGAAAGGTTCGAGGAGTTGCCACCAATATTTTTACCAAAAACATTGGAAAAGGAAAAGAAGGCGATGATTTTTAAGAAAAACCAACTTTGGTCATTACAACTAGAGTTTGGTAAGGGAGTTAGTTATGTGTGGGGAATGTATTAGCTTCCCCACGACGCTCCTTTCGGGTTCCCTATGATGGACTGTTTTTATAAAGAAATAAGAACATTAAAACTACGCTTTTACCCTTATTTATTCATTGCAAAATTTAAATTATTGACTACAAGACCCTTAATAACTAATGCATAAAGATAATAACTAATAAAAACGATAAAATATAGTAAGGGATATGAAAGAACCTTCGAAGCAAGCTTTTTATAAATACTTGAAAAGGGCGCTTTTTGGAAAACCCCACACTCTACAACACAGCTAACTCTTCTCTCGAAGCATTTTAGAATGCTTTCTAAGAACTCTAAGACTCTGGAAATGCTTCAAAGGGGTTCTAGAATAGTATTTTGAGGAGTATTCAGTTAGAGAAGTTGTAGAAGTTGTTGAAAATGAGGAGAAGGCCCCCCTTTTTATAGAAATTCACACTTGTCAGGTTGGGACCGTCGTCTCACTTTTAGCAAATGGCGAGACGGCCATCTCGCCAAATGAGATGGCGGTCTCGCCTTTGGCAAGTGGCGAGACCCTAATTCACATCTTTGTTGAATTTTTTTTTTGTAATTCTTTCCATAAAGATTCAGAAAATACTGGATCTCCGCCAACAAAAGCAAATTGTCGATAAAACTCCAAAATGACATTTTCTTTTGACCCAATTTTTTTTATCCTTAATATTTAGGAATGACACAAAAATTTCAGGATAACATACATTTTCTAAAATTTCGCTTAAATTCGAACCCATAGCTGATGATGGAACTAGAAAAGACATTTTCTGTTTTGAAGTAGTGCAAACTAGAGTTCTAGAAATGGATCAAAACCCTGATGAAGATGAGGTCGCCACAGATATTCAAAAGATCGAGAATCCGTCCATAAGATTTTTCGAAGTCAAAGTGGACCTCAGGTGGCATCAATTCACACATTCGTTCTATCTTCTCTACATGATATCGGGGAATGTCCACTTTCTTCAACTGTCTACTGGACCCCTCCATTTTTCTAGAAACAAAAATGCATGCTATGAGTATGATGTTGATGCGAGCATGCATGTAAGTGTTTGTTTTTCCTAAATATTATCATGTTTTATTTTCTACATGATGTCTGATAGTGTTTGGGTTTTGTATTTTTTTTTTAAAAGAAACTACCCATATGGATGTTCATGAGTTCAATGCTTATGAACAGGGTCCCATTTTTATTATAATTACTTGATTTATTTGATTTTTATAACCTTTTATCTCTTCTGTTGGACTGTGTTGCTACTTAGCTTACAAATAACCTGAAATCAAGCTAGCTAAAAGGCAGACTGTCAGAGATAAAAGGGGTTTATTGCCAAAGAATGATTTTAGCATCCCTTATCTCTTCTATCGGACTGCATGGCTACTTAGCTTACAAAGAATCTGAAACCAGGCTAGCTAAAATGCAGACTGTCCGAGATAAGGGTGTTTATTGTAAAAAGATTTTTGAGAGATTTTTCTTTTATTTTTCTGTTGTATGATTATGCTATACAACAAACAAATGCACACACAATTCACTCATCCGCGAATAGTAGGACAACATTTTTATAACGAGATAGGGGTATCCTGCAGAAGAGTGCGTATTCAAGGTAGTTCTAAATATCCTCACCAAGGCCAGGCCCCCAAGGTGCCCCCATTGTAGGGTCCCCACTCTCCCAGCCTTTAGACCATGCATGGCACTAAGGCCTTGTCAGTCTTTGGGCCAAAAGAGGAAGGTTATCACCTTCAGTGGTGGTTTCCGACCATACCGGTGGGCTCATGGCCCTCACTACGGCAAATCATACAATGCCACCCACTCCTTAAGGTTATCCCACTTGCCCCCAGGTATAGGGGGGACTGTTGTGTGCAAGGGTTTGTATACAGTTTTTATTTCAAATAATTGCATAAAGTAAACATACAACAGTTATTAAAGCCAAACAATAAAGCATGTTATATAAGCAAGGAAGGGTAAAAGCGTAATTTCAAGTTTTTATTTCTCAAACTAGTTCGTCACTAAATGGGATCAACTCTCTAGCTTCCCCAGTGGAGTCACCATCTATCGTCGCCGTAAAAAGAGGCGGTCGGAGCGACGCGATGGTTTTGATTGACTCACATTTTTTAAAGTTGTGGTTCAACGCCTTTAGGTTGTTCGATAACTGGGCTGGACCTAAAGGTGAGGTTTTCGAAAAGGTTCGAGGAGTTGCCACCAATATTTTTACCAAAAATATTGGAAAAGGAAAAGAAGGCGGTGGTTTTCAAGAAAAACCTACTTTGGTCATTACAACCAGAGTTAGGTAAGGGAGTTAGTCACATGTGGGGAAGGTATTAGCTTTCCCACGACGCCCCTTTCAGGTTCCCTATGATGGACAATTTTTGTAAAGAAATAAGAACATTAAAACTACGCTTTTACCCTTATTTATTCTTTGCAAAATTTAAATTATTGACTACATGACCCTTAATAACTAATGCATAGAGATTGTAGACCCCAAATCTTGCCCGGCCTCCAAATAAAGACCAGAAGACCTCCTATTTGAAGATGGACAAGCCTAACAAGCCATTAGGAGAGACTATTAGGCCCCATACTAGGATAGGAGGGAGTTTCTGCGCCAAAAAATAAGTTTTCTTGCTTCGAAGGGACGAGACCGCCTTCTGGACAACCCAGACCGCCGTCTCGTAGGAGGCGAGACCGCCGTCTCACTTAACGAGACAGCGGTCTCGCCACCTACGAAGGACGAGACGGCGGTCTCATTCACCCAGACGGCGGTCTCGCCATGGTGACAGGTCGAGACGGCGGTCTCGTTGGACGAGACGGCGGTCTCGACCTTGTCAGACGAGACCGGCGATCTCGCCACCTGACAGCGCGAAAACCTATAAATAGGGGCTCTCCCCCCCTCATTTCCACACACCACAGCTACATAGCTCTCCCTTCTCTCTAAAAACTTCTCTCTAG